GCTTTGACGAGCCCAACCTGAAGGCCACTTTTGACTTTGAAATCGAAATACCCACCGATCAGGCCGCTCTCAGCAACATGCCTGTCAAGGAAACCAAGCCCACCAAGGATGGATGGAACATGGTTTCCTTTGAGACTTCTCCCGTCATGAGCACCTACCTCCTGGCATGGGCTGTTGGTGACTTTGAGTACATTGAACAGCTCACGGACCGCCGGTACAATGGCAAGCAAATTCCCGTCCGTGTCTACACCACGCGAGGACTCAAGGAACAGGGACGGTGGGCTTTGCAGCATGCCCCCAAGATTATCGACTTCTTCTCCGAGATCTTCGACATTGACTACCCACTGCCCAAGGCCGATCTTTTGGCCGTCCACGAGTTCACCCATGGTGCCATGGAGAACTGGGGTCTCGTCACCTACCGTACCACCCAGGTTCTCTTCGATGAGAAGACCTCGGATGCTCGATTCAAGAATGCCGTCGCCTACGTTGTTGCCCATGAGCTTGCCCACCAGTGGTTCGGTAACCTGGTCACCATGGACTGGTGGGATGAGCTGTGGTTGAATGAGGGTTTTGCCACCTGGGTCGGTTGGCACGCCGTTGACCACCTGCACCCCGACTGGCAGGTCTGGGCTCAGTTCGTCAACGAGGGCATGGAGGCTGCTTTCCGTCTCGATGGTATCCGTGCCAGTCACCCCATCCACGTCCCTGTACGTGATGCCCTCGATGTCAACCAGATCTTCGACTCCATCAGCTACCTCAAGGGCTGCTCTGCAATTCGCATGTTGGCCAACCATCTAGGCGTCGAAACCTTCCTCAAGGGCGTTTCCAACTATCTCAAGGCCCACGCTTACGGCAACGCCAAGACCAAGGCTCTATGGGATGCGCTGAGCGAGGCTTCTGGCAAGGAGGTCAACGCTCTCATGGGACCCTGGATCTCCAAGATTGGTCACCCTGTGGTGACAGTTGCCGAGGAGCCCGGTCAAATCTCCATCAGACAGTCTCGGTTCCTGTCCACCGGCGACGTCAAGCCCGAAGATGACACCACAACGTGGTGGGTCCCTCTTGGCCTCGAGGGCAGGAAGGGGGAGAGTGGTGTCAACACCATGTCTCTTCTCCAGAAGGAGGAGACTATCCGCGACATTGATGACGAGTTTTACAAGCTCAACAGCGGCGCCACTGGCTTCTACCGCGTCAACTACCCCCCTGCTCGCCTTGCCAAGCTCAGCACCCAACTCGACAAACTGAGCACCGAGGACAAGATTGCCATTATTGGTTCTACTGCGGATTTGGCCTTTGCCGGGAACAGCACGACTGCTGCTCTGTTTACCTTCCTCGAAGGCTTTAGCAAAGAGACTCACCCTCTTGTCTGGACCCAGGTCCTCGACTCTATTGGCTCTGTCAAGTCTGTCTTTAACGAGGACAAGGAGATCAAGAAGGGTGTGGAGAACTTTGCTCTCAAGCTCATCTCGGATAAGGTCAAGGAGATTGGCTGGGATGCCGCTGAGAATGAAGAATACTTGACCACCATGTTGCGCAAGCGCATTATTGGCGTTGCTGTTGCCAGCGGGCACGCCGAGTAAGTAGATTTTTGTCTCTTCGCATTCAATTTGCAATGTCGTTACTAATGCTCTACCAGGGCCGAAGAGGAAGCCCTGAGGCGCTTCAATGCCTGGCACGAGAACGCCGAGGCCAACCCCCTCCCGCCCTCTTTGCGACTCCCGGTCTGGCGTGCTGCCGTCAAGAAGGATACCGCCCGCGCAGTCGAGATCCTGAAGAACGAGTGGTTTAACACCAAGTCCATTGATGGCAAGCTGATCTGTCTTAATGCTCTGCCGGCGCCCGAGGACGAACAGATCCTGAAGGAACAAATCGTCCCATTCAACTTCAACGAGTCCCCCCCCAGCAACGCCGTCAACGCCGCTGACATGCACGTCCTCGGCATGGGTCTGGCCGGCAACCCCGTCGGTCGCCAGGTGCAGTGGGCTTTCATGAAGGCTAACTGGGATGCATGCGTTGCAAAGCTCGGCAACCCCATTGTTGTCGACCGATTCGTGCGTGTCAGTCTGGGCGGGTTCACTGATGTCTCTGCTGTGGACGACATTGACCAGTTCTTCAAGGACAAGGATACCAAGAGCTTTGACCGAACTCTGGAGACGGTCAAGGACAAGATTCGCGGCCGTGCTGCCTACAAGCAGCGTGATGCTGCCGCTCTGAAGGAGTGGCTTGGCGCTAATAAGTATTTGTGAAGACCAAAGTTGTAGGGATGATGGGCGGATTGTGTTGAAGGAGCAGATGTAGATGGCTAGTCTATAATACGTGACTGTTATTTGCGGTCAGACCAGTTGGGTGTCTAAAATCTGTAGCTATTTAAAAAAGACTTTCTCGAGCAAGTGCGTAGTAAATAATTGGTCCTTGCTCAGTGGTCGGTTTGCCCTACTCAGCACAGCATGTGGTATTTTCGACACTCGTACCCGCTGTTAGTCCTGTAGATATATTTCATGTACAATGCAGATTGGTGATTTGCAGTAGCCGACACGCATATATAATCAGCGTACGTCTGCGGAAGAACGTGGTCTATGTGGGCAAGTTTCGCCATCACTCTCGTGCCTCTCTGAAATAGTCCTTCGCTATCATGACTAGCGCTGTCTCTAGCCATGATGATGATGAGAGTGGGTTCCCCTCATCGCAAACGCCGTGTCGGCCTATCGACTTGGCTTCGTCGGTGGCCGTGTAAGCAGCCAGCTTCAGCTCGACGAGCGAAAGTCAAAGTACGCGGAACTCGCAGCGTTCACGAACGCTGAGCCCGACGAAATCGGTACGTTGTAGCCAGAATCAGCTGCCGATGCCAGCGCCGCTTTAAACAACACATTGGATATTTTTGATGCAGCGACTACGGTATTGTTGACGAATCCGGGGTCTTGGATGAACATGCAAATGCAACGTCACAGAATCCCCTCACCTTGTGCTTCAGCACGCTTTAAGGGGGATGCGAGGAGTTCCCATGTGATTATGAACTGTATTTTTCTTGCTTCAATGCATCGTCCTTTGCACTGTGCAATGCTACCTGAATTCCATCGTCTCGAATGGAAGTGCCATAGGCAACAATGATCAAGGACGTGCAGAGAGTCTCGCCCCCATCCACGCAAGCCACTACCTGACGTCGGCACTATGCGACACTCTCCAAGCGTTTGAGCCAGGCGTGGTCCTCCTGTTCCCCGGCTAGATCCCAAACTCTAGACTGAAGAGGGACATGTCACGCCAAAATTGACCCTCTTTACATTGGGTCCTGGTCTTGCCAGCAAAACATATCCAAGGGGGCTTTCCCGCAGAACACTCTGCTAACAGGATGTCGTTGTGCCTCTGCTGGGCTAGTGTATGGTGAACGATTCGTTATCATGCCTGTGTAGCTGCCGCTAAATATAGGACTCTAGGTGTGCATATGTCACTGACAGCCAACTAGAACATGTTGTACCAGTTTATCGGTAGGCAGGACGGCTGGGGCTTGAAGGAGTGTCTCGGCTACTAGAGGTATGTGGGAATACATTACGGAAGACACAGTGTGTTTATCGGAATGTCCGCCGCAGTCCATCCTCCGGTAGTCAACTAGTAGAAATGCCATGGTGTAGCCGAAGGGAAACGGGGTTGAATACGGGCTTGTACAATAAAGTAAAATATACGTCCGTTAATGGAGGAGTGTCGCTGGTCCGATCCTCATGTGCGTTAAGAGCTCAAGAACCCCCTATACAGAGTACGGAGTTCTAGACAATCCCGATCTACGACCCAGATCCCCGCAAACGCACGGCGCACCGAAAACTGCCAGTTTGGGATGGCGCTAGGGACGGGACGGCCCGAGGCTCGATTCATGACGGAACACCCGAGGCTCGATGTTTTCGTGACGATGACACTTCCACCAGACCCTCAGAGGTTATATCCTTCGGGAACCTTCCCGATTGCCCGACAAAGCAAGAGCTGGTGGTGGAGAGGTCGCAGAGGCATGGGCAGGTCGGTGACCCAGAGGGCCAGAGCCAGCTGTGGATGCTATTGAGCCGTTGCAGGTCGAGCTCTCGCGCGAGACAGGCCGTCACATCCGGACCAATAGGGGCCAAGTCATTCGAATTCGTGCGGTATGACACGAGCAGGGACGAATGCAGCCGTTCGTGGCGGTGTCGGGATGTGTTGGCGGTGTCCTCGTTCTTGTCGCTGGGAAGCTGGATAGATAATAGGGCAGACTGTTAGCAGAATTGTTAGCTTGAAAGGGTCGACCAACGGAGATCACAGTAAGCGAATGCCCGACTCTGTCGACTTCCCACCTCGGCACCGTTTTGATTTGTATTGGCGATTTCTCTTGAGACGCCGAAGTTTACTGCCACAAGTGTGGTGGAGTGGCGAGAGAGCCCTCTAAGCCAACCTGATCGCAAAGCTAGTGCAACTGCTATTCCATCAGACCACATCACATCAAGAGAAGAATAGGAGGCGATGCCATGGTCTTTTGTCAAGAACCCGTTGGCCCTTGAGAGATCTGGGAATGGTGTGGTATCCCCCCAGACCAGTTAAGGCCGCAACGATGTATCTTTCAAGGACAAGGGCCCCGTGCTTTTTCATCATTCGCTGAGCAGGACGGAGAACAGGCGGCACGCAGGTGTGGTTACATTTCAGCTATCCGTCCACAGAGTCATCTGGCCTCCGGTCTCTGTTTCCTGCCCAACCCCCTTTCAGCTTCCATTTTACTGGTGTCATAATGCTTGCTCTTTAGCCCCAACACTGGGGAAATTCTTCACTCCGCCCGTTGACGTTTTTCCAGACTAAAGCGGCCGGCTCGACGGGTCCTTCTTTTCGTCTGTCTAGTAAAGGCCACAGAATCACCACCGCGCCGCGTAAGGACTCCAATGATTGTTGTTTTCGGTCTTTATAATCTCGGGATAATAGAAATAGCTTTTACTCGGTGTTGTTGCGCATGGTCAAGCGAAGCTGCTCTTACCGGATCATTCCAAATGTCCACGATGGCTACTTCTGATACACAGCCACGCTCTCTTTCACACACCACCGAATGGGGTTATACAAATGAGCATTATACTGTAGGATGGATTTGTGCTCTTCACATCGAGTTGGCAGCTTCCAAGGAAATGTTACCTAAGAGGCATCCAGGCCTCCCACAGGACGAGAAGGATGCAAATACCTATACGCTAGAACAGATTGGACCGCATAATGTTGTACTTGCTTGTCTACCATCGGGAACAACAGGTACACATGCTGCGGCTACAGCAGCAAATGACCTACTCCGCAGCTTTCCGAAAATCCGCTTTGGCTTGATGGTCGGCGTCGGAGGTGGAGCGCCAGCCACCCCAAGTGACGATCCGTCTGAAGACCTCCGTCTTGGGGATGTAGTAGTCAGTAACCCGGAAGGCGCCCATGGTGAGAGAGAATTACTTTGGTCAAGGAAATATCTGAGCTTATACAATTAGCAGGGGGGCGTTTTACAATATGACTTCGGCAAAACCATTAAGGAGGGCAAATTTACTCAAACAGGCGTATTGAACAAACCGCCTATCGTATTGAGAGCCGCGGTCTCGCAACTACGCGCACAACACGAAACTGAGGAGAGCGCAGTCCGTCAGCATGTTTTGCAGATGCTGAAATCGAAACCAAAGATGATGCGGAAGTACAAGTATCAAGGCCCCGAGGATGATCAGCTGTTCGAATCGGATTACAATCACGATGAATCAGGCAAAGGCTGTGAAATCTGCGACAAGGAGCGATTGTCAAGTCGAAAGCCCCGAGACACGGAAGATCCAGTCATCCATTACGGTCTTATTGGCTCAGCAAATCAGGTTATGAGGCATGGTGCTACCCGAGAAATGCTCCGCCAGGAGAAGGGAATACTTTGCTTTGAGACGGAGGCGGCTGGACTCATGGACAATTTTCCGTGTCTTATCATACGAGGGATCTGCGACTATTCAGACACTCATAAGAATAAGCGCTGGCAGCCGTATGCGGCGGCAACGGCAGCGCCATATGCCAAGGAACTTCTCGAAGTCATACCCCCAAGTCGGGTGGTATCAACAAAGGAGGCATCCAAAATTGTGGTGCTTGATTAGCTCAGACCAGCAGCAGAGGGAGGAGGGAGCGAAGCTGACGGTATTCCTATTTAGTGCGAGCAGAAGTTGAGCCTATAACTGCAAAACTTGGGCCCCTATTAGATAGTTCGAGAAACTCTTCAAGTATTTTGTAAGATTCTCTGTATTGACTTTTAATAGGACAATAGCGTAAAGAATAGGACGAGATTTTAGATTGGATTATCGCTTCTCCTACCTACGAACAACAATACGAGCTCAAACCGGAAGAGTTCACCCGTTGCATTCATATACTGCAACTGCAAAAGGCAAGAAGAGCAAACTACTGAAAGACTGCTTGGCGTGCTTCTTCGACAATTTCTTGGGCAATGCGCTTCCGTTCCGGAGTCAGTCAAGACGCTGTATAACAACCATAGGAGCACGGGAACACATCTCTCCCTCGAGGGAATACTTCACACCCTATCTACAATTATTGGCAATCAAGACCGAGCATACCTAGTCATCGATGCCCTGGACGAATGTCCGGACAGCAGCCGCGAACATCTACTGACCAAAATTCGGGAACTACAAAAGAATACCCATGCAAAGGTTATGGCAACATCCCGCCCTGTCGACGATATCGAAAGATGGTTTGCGGGAGACACAAAGCTAAGAATTCAGGCAGACTCAGCAGACGTGGGACGCTATTTGGATGACCATCGGCCGACTCTGTCTGAGTGCGTTAGAGAAGACGATGACTTGTGGAACGAAATCAAAACAGAAATTGTCAAGGCAGCGGATGGAATGTAAGTATTGGAAGTACGGCATTCGTTTAAAATTCTCACCTTCTCACTGGTGCCCAGGTTCCTCCTCGCTACTCTTCATTTCGGGTCTCTAAAAGGGGAGAGAAGAGCGAGAGATGTCAGAAAAGCATTGCGTGCTCTTCCACAAGGCTTACAGGCATTGCCGAGGGTATACGACAGTGCCATGGACAGGATTGACCTACAAGGTGTAAAAGACGGCAAATGGGCTAGACGTGTCCTATCGTGGGTGGTTTGCGCAAAGCGACCCTTGACACCAATGGAACTTCAGCATGCTTTATGTGTAGAGATTGGCGATCGAGAGCTAAAGCGGCCGACCCTTCGCTAGGGGAAGTAATCTCTCTTTGTGCAGGGCTCGTCACACTCAATAAGGAGAGCAACGTTGTGCAGCTCGCCCACTACACCGCTCAGCAGTATTTCGAGGACGCTCAGCAACAGCTGAGGCTAAGCTGGATTCGCACAGCACAGAAGGATATTGCAGCGACTTGTATCACTTATCTATCATTTGACGTCTTTGAGGCCGGATCCTGTCCAACTTGTGAAGATTTCCAGGCCCGGCTACAAAATAATCCCCTTTACGACTGTGCCGCACGAAATTGGGGACATGATGCTTCCACGGTTCCCTTAGAGGAACAGTTGATTATTGGTCTCCTTGGGAGCGAGGCCAAGGTATCCGCCTGTAGCCAGGCATTGATGGCTCCTGGAAGCTACTTATTCAAAGGGCCACGGACTGAAATGACAGCTGCACACCTTGCCGCCTACTTTGGGCTGAGCGGTGTAATAACCATCTTGTTTAAGAATAATTATCCTCTGGATTGTGAGGATAGTTACAGACGGACGCCGCTGTCGTGGGCCGCCCAGGGGGGCCACGAGGCCGCGGTGAAGCTGCTGCTCAAGAAGGGCGCCTCCGTTGGAACCAAAGACGAGTGCTATCGGACGCCCCTATGGTGGGCGAGCTGGTCCGGGCACGAGGGTATCGTCAGGCTGCTTCTCGAGAATGGGGCCAATGTCCAGTCCCAGGACAAGTATGGCAGTACACCACTGTCATTTGCTGCCGAGATGAGGCACGAGGCCGTGGCTCAGCTGCTGCTCGACTACGGCGCCGACGTTGAGTCTAAGGACAGGTACGGTCGGACGCTGCTATTATGTGCCGCCGGTAAGACGGGTATGAAGGCCGTAGTCAAGCTGCTACTTAACTACGGCGCTGATATTGCGGCCAAGGACGGAGACGGTCGGACGCCGTTATTACATGCCACCAGAGGGGGCCATACGGCCGTGGTGAAGCTGCTGCTTGAGCAGGGCGCCGATGTTGAGACGAAGGACGGTGACGTTGGCCGGACGCCGCTATCGTGGGCCGCCGAGAGCGGTCACGAGGCCGTGGTAAAGCTGCTGCTCGATTACGGCGCCAACATTGAGGCGAAGGATAATCAACATAACCAGACACCGCTATCACGGGCCGCTGGCAAGGGCCACGAGGCTGTCGTGAAGCTGCTACGACAACATTCCCGATGAGGCCAGATATTCCTTTTCCTTCAATGCAGTGGTGTGATACTCACATGGCCTGCCATGTCTGACCTCAGCTTTCCTAGGCCCTTTCCTAGTCGCTGGAGTACCCTCGAAGGTGTTGCGTTCCGTTGCCCTAGGCTCTACCATAACAAGCCGTAACAATACGCACTCTTCACTCCGGCTTAGTTCTGATGCCTTTGTGAAAAGCGTATCGAAGGGGTTCAAGTTTATTTATAGCCGTGGTCTCTGAGCTTTCACAAGTTATTGCTAGCCTCTGATATCGATTGACTCGGATATAACGTGGTAAAACAGACTGCCAAATTTGCATCGGCCGACGTGTCTTAAGTCATACGAAACCCGGAGTGACTGGCCGTGGCGGGGTGGGCGAACCAGGCAAATTTCTTAGTGTAAGTGATAAGTCCAAGGTTTACATTAGTCTGATCTCATGTACTACTGCGTTGCAACTCGCTTATACATATTGATAACCCCGGGAGACTAACGCGGTGCGAGGACGTTGTCAACTCAGTCAACATGATCACTACTCTACAAGACGTCATACCAGGCGCATGCCTTAATTATCCTGGTTGTACCTCGACGTACGGATTGATGCCATCCCCTCATTGAATAGTTGTGTTGCCGACCTGAAAGGGACTTTTCATGTCCTGTGTGGGCTTGTATTCTTGCTAGCTAATACTAGCTAAAATAATCTATAATAAGGGGTCAAATGTGGCCTTCTAGCTGCCTGAGGTAGCTAGCTGTGGGCAGCTTACACTACAACCCAAATCCCCAATTCTGGGACGTAGTAAAGAGCCTAGTAATCCAAGGAGCTAGATTCATACAAAGGAGCGGTCAAGTTAGAAGCCCAAGATATCTCCCTTTGTTGAGCCCTTGGGCCTGAGACCGTTTTCCTTCCTCCGCTGATGCTAGCCCTCGTCAACCTTGGCGTTGACTAGTCAGTCCATGTGACACAATTCCATCTTTAGCATGAGAATAAGCGATGAGAAAACTCGTGCTGTCTCCAACAGGAAGGTGATTCAACATTTCTGAGTGTAACATCGCCTTGGGTGTTGAGAGCATCGTAAGCTGGATATTAGAGATGTTTTGCGCGAATATAAAGAGCCGTGTTCTTGCTCCCGTTACGAAATCGAGCAGCGCCACAGAAAACGGGACGGACCGAGAATGGAATTGACATCTCCAGTATAAGTGGCTCCCAATGCGTCTGCATTGTAGTCCCATTTGTGTTAGAGGGACAAAAAAACCCTCGAGCCAAAAGGCAAATGTATTTCAGCCTAGTGGCGCGAGTACGACAAGCCGTGTTGCTCATTTCTCAATCCACCAGATTTATTCCGCAATTGTGCTAATAGCTTGTAGCTGCATCTTTTGTTCGCTAGATAATCGCGGAAACCAAGCGGAATAGACAGCGTAATCTGACGGAGATGGGGTCTCGACGACAAAAGTCGACCCGCCAACTCAGACCTCAGCGCATCTATAACGAAGGAGTCGTCCCATTCCCATTCTTCATAATCGTCTAAATCTGGTGGTAAATCAAGCACTTCAAGATTTAGAAGAAGAGTAGTTAAAAGCCTCATAGTTGGAGATGGCAATGTTGGGGAGGTATTAGAAGGGAAGGACATCGGCTGTGTTGCAGTTATGTGGTGGTGCCATTCTTTGGCCCTGTACTCAGATGTGACGTGACGCAGCTGCGTAAAGGTAGGTAAATGGGATTCTCTTGGCTTGCAAAGGGCGCATCGAAGCACCCCTCTCCAAAGTCGGCTCTTGATAGTAAAGTTTGGACCAAGATACAGAGATGCCAGATTAGGCATGGATGCCGGGAGGGTTGTCACGACCGCACCAACAGTACCGACTCGCAGCTCGTCTATCCAAGATTCAGTAAGTCGTACCCCAGTAGACTGGATAAACTTGGTTGCCTTTTTAACTAGAAGCGGGCTGGCAGAAAATGCGGGCGGTTCCCGGACTTGAGGGCGATTTTCAAACCCATCTCCTTGGAAGCGCAGCTTGTGGACATGGCCAGCTAGGTCGGGTCTGTCGAGAATGCTTCGCAACACTAGCATCGCAGGCGGCGTGCTACGCAAAGCCCAGGTGGTATCGATAGTTGAGTAGACTAGCGGTTCGGCTGCATTGCGAATATTTCTGTTGACCCTACCCATGGAGAGCAAGTTGGTCAAGGGAAGCAACTCTAGGACGGACAATATCAGCTCACTTGGCCAGTCAAATGGCGCCGCGGCCATCTTCCCAAGTTTGTACAAAACAAGCTAATCGCGTTCCTTGATCCGGCCCGTCCTGCACCGATTCATGAAAAGGAGGCATCGTGGTAGATTTAAATGAACCTCCGGTACCGGGGAAAGCAGAAACCAATCAAGAATAAGATGTCAAGTACAAGGTTCCTAAGACAAAAGGATGTAACGGTATACAGCGGTACCTCGAATTCAGAGTTGCTTAGGTGATATCTTCAAGTTCAAGTTTATATCAAATGCTGCAAGGCGCAACCGGCTTACCTACTCCGAAATCAACCCCCGCGCATGAACTAAGTACTGCTCAGTCCATTTGCCCATGTCTGTCGTACCAGAGCCATGACTCATGCGCGGAGAAGTGACGTGCAGCAGAACAACATGGAAAACGTATGATACCTTGGAACTACGCCATCGCCTAATCTGTGTCCCTGTCTGGGATTAGACACGATGAGCCCCTGCAATCAAAAGTTCACTGTCAAAGTGTCCACACGAATCGCATCGGTCCCTGGTTGTGTAAGACAACGTCATGACTAACAGATGTAAATTGATGAGGGTGAGAGCGACTAAAAACATGGCAAGTCCCTGCATGGGCTCTTGACCCTCGGACAATCCAATGCTCATAAACAGTTGCGGTCACAACACGACCTGCCTTGATTCCAGAAACGGGCTCACAATTGTCCGCTACATGAATCTTTGGACAACCTCCCCGCCTCTACTGCTTAAGCTTGTCTATACAATCGTGATACTCTTCGGTTCTCCTTTAAGGATAAAGCCCGGTTCTTCAACGTAGAGCCTGCCGTCCATGAGATTTGCCACGAAGCCCGCATTATTTTTCTTCTGTCCCAGCTGAGGAAGAAATTCCGGCACGTTGCTGTTGATAATCTTGAAGTCAAAGAGGGTATTCTTGGGCGGCGGCACAATGCCGTCGTCCTCGGCTCTCCTGGACAGCTTGGTGTCTGAGCCTACGGGGGGACACTTCTCATCGAGGCCCTTGGGCCTGGGCAGGTCGGTGCGAGTCTCCCACTTGCCCAGTCCGCCCGCCTTCTCTGGAATGAAGAACTCGTTGGTGGGTAGCCAGAACCAGTTATTTTTCAAGAGGCAAAATCTGTCACCATCCTTGTCTATGTACCACCTTACCGCCTCGAGGACGTTCTTGACCTTGGACTTCTCCGTCTCAGCCAGTGACTCGGTGATGAGTGCCTGTGCCTTGACAGGTTCTCCGTCTTTCGTCTGAAGAGCATATGAAAATGAGCACTTCTCCGTGTGTTTGAGGCCGTGGAGGTACCCGGGGCGGTGCATCTTGATGCAATCCGAGACGGGACCAGCGGATAATTCGCCGTGGATATTGTCATAGTTGGAGTTGAAAAAATCAAGAGCAATTGACCTTACGGCGGGGCACGTTGGGAAAAGCCCAAGACTTAATTTTCTCTCGCCACGACCCAGGCAGCTCGTATCGACACATGGTGTCAGCGAGCAGGTTCCCTTGATCGTCGTGATGTATGTCCAGGTGACAATTCTGCAGACGCTGTTAGGTGGGCAAGTCTCGCTGCTCCTGACGCTATAAGGCACTCAGTCTGTTTTGAGGACTCGCCGTTCTCTCCGCCTGTTATTCGCTGATTTCCATAGACGGTGCCGGAGCCAGAGGATGAGAAGATACTGACACCAACAGAGGCTTCGATTGTAGCCGAGCCTCCAACTTCAATGGATTTCTCCTTGTTCCATCCGAGCCTTTCGCTATTGATTTTTGCCATTGATTTTTGCCACGGATGTGGTTATCTCCAATGGTATAGCCTCGTCTCCCGAGATGCGACTGGGATAGTCGGCGTGGGGATTGATATCAAGACTTGCGTCCTCGGACTTGACAAAGTTGTGCAGGTACAAGCATTTACGCTCGTCTTCCAACACGTCATCCATTTTGATTTTGGAGTCTTTCAGGGGGATCTCCGAGTAGAGAACCCCGTCAATGATTCTGCGCCCAGTGGCCTTCATGTCGCCTTGCACTTTCTTGTCATTGCGTATGACGGCAGCCAAGTCGAAAAAGAGTCTCGTGGTAGGACTGAGCCGCAGACACAGGCTGCCGAGGTGGACAGCATTGTCCAGAGCATCATGTTGACCATGGTTGACGCCAAGTTGGAGTGACGAGTGAATGAAAGACATGAGAATATAATGAAGAAGAAGGGAGAGTATAGTTCTAAAAGAAAAGAGAGTCGTTGTCAAGAGTAGATTTATCTGGATTAAAACCCGATGCTCTTGAGGATTTTCGAAATTTTCGAGGCAAGAACCTTGGATATAAATATTTCTTAAAGCTACGCTGTACTTGGGATATGGTGTCATTCCCACTCGAAAACAGAAGCCTCGGTTTTCTGCCAAGTCTTGCGGGCTCTGGTGTATTCTATAAAGGCAGCTTGAAAGATAGCAAGATAAAGCCGAGATGCGCCGGCATGAGGACGGTCGTCTCCGTCTTCCCTGCCGCCGAGCACGAACATCGTCCGTGTGAAGGAGAGATGGGATGAGCTGTAAACCCTTTTTTTTAAAAAAAAAAAGAAACGTCTTAGGCACGTCAAGCGGAGTTTGACAGCTGCCGCATAAAGTAGAAGGTGTCCCTGGTCTTAGCAGCCCCATACGCAAGCCTGAAAAGCAGTAGATAGCCAATATGAATGTGAAACGACACCCAAAGGCCCAGAATGTTCATGTTCGGTTGTTCGACTCAGAAGTGGCAATGCTTTGTAAAGATGGGTCCGCCTGAAGCCGCTGAGACTACCACACTCAACAGAGACGCGTTTCAGGCTTGGAAGGATTCGTACCTCCCCGGTCCTACCCGATAGCTTCGTAGGACCTGACTATTGACGGTACTGAGACTACCGCGACTCTCCTTTGCCGCAGTGCCCCTGTAGTGTAGACTTGGTGGCGGTCTCAGCGGTAATACAATCAGCCATCTAGAGAGCCGCAGCAGGTACTTGCTTGTTGGGCGGTCCAAAGTTTTGGCACTGTGTGTTGCGAGAATAGCCGGGCAATGGTATGTAATGAAATGTGTTCGCATTGAAGTTTTCATGAGCAACGCCGGGGCCGACGCGTGGGCTTTGTTTTTGCAGCTTCGCCGTGGCTGTTTAATCGCGGGCATGGAGGAAGGTTCGGCCTGGAAAGGGTCTTCGTGCTGAAAGATCGAAGAACCTCAATTCGCCCCGGCTCCGAGGCCAAAACTTCCTTGGCCAGCCGTTTAAAGAGGCAGCATCATCTTTTCCCAAACAGCCTTGGCCGTTGTTTCCACCACGAGAAGGTGGGGCGGGGTCGCGGTTTGGTATTGTTTATCAGCCCCGCTTGGTCACTTGTGATTGCCTGGGCAACCAAGCCCTTGGACACTAGCCATTTATCATGCGGCCAACCTTGCTCAAACTCCCCCATCGCCAGTCAACCAAACCATGGGATCCATCGACGACTGGCTAGCTGGCATTTCTGCAGGCGATAATTCACACTGCGCAGCAAGGACACATATCAAGCGCAAACGATCATACCCGTTGACGCCGGATTCCGCCTGCGAAACGACTACGAATGGAATGGCTCATCCGGATACTCCGACAAAGAGGCAGAAGAGGACTGCAGAAAATAGCGATTGGGACGAGACCCCAAAGGCAAGCCTAATAAACGCGCCGGCCTCAGTATCTGCATCGTCGTCACCAACAAAGCGATCCTTAAGTGGCCGATCCAGCTCGTCTGCCTCCTCGTCTCGCCGTAAAATCCAGGCGCTAGCTGTCAGTGAGCAAGGCATCATTAGGCGGCAATTAAGCGGCCTCCAAACCCCTGGCCTTCCCGAAGCCATAAAAGGTCCTTTGCGGAAGATTATAAGCCTTCAGCGGGGGAGGCAAGTTCTTTCTTCGCATTGCAACAAGCTCGACTTCGGCGATCTTATTCGCGATTTTGAGCTCTCGTCAGATGCTTTCGCCGATCCGGGGAACGGTGGCAGTGAGCTTTCCCCGCAAGACGTGGAAAGAATAGCAAAAAAAGCTCGGCGCTGCTTCGAACGCGATCACGATGAGTCACCTTGGAACGCCGAGGTCCACCAGGATCTGTTCGAGACAACCATCCGCGGACCCAAATTTGCTCAAGTTGGCCAGCCGCAGCTTGTTGACTTCAGTATCTGGTACGTTATTATGATCCTCTCCACCAGCCGAGCATCCGAGTGAGTAACCTCGTAACTTAGCACTTCTGCCCGTCTGATTAAAGAGTATTTGCTCTCACCTGCTCCTGACCAACGGATCGACTTCTGCTTCTATATCGATGCTGCAGCTGACGGCGACTATGCACGGAAGGTTGATGCAATACGGCAGGAGCTACCCGAAAAAAGCATAAACCAAACCTCATACGGGCCTCATCTCCCGTATCCTATATTTTCTGTAACTGAAACTAAAAGGCCGGGAAACTATTTTGACGACGCAATGCTTCAGCTTGCCGTCTTTCAGGCCGCTCAACTCAAGCTACTACGATCTCTTTTGCGCAAGGCTTTCCACCGACACGTCCAGCCAGATCAGCCTCCCACAATTCAGAATCATCCGTTCCTCGACCCGGCATCACAATATGTGAACGACTCCCTAGCCCAGTTGGGGGCTCTACATAATATTCTTATTCAAGGCCATCAATGGCACTACACAGCCATCTCCCCAGAATTGCAGGACGCATTCGGAGGCCCATCTCAAAAGGCAGTATGGACTTTCCCCTCCTCTCAATAGTCTCTTTCTCCTGGTCCAAGTCCTCTGATCCGAACTTACGATAGATTCTCTGGCTACCCGAGCTGATTGCAAACACGAATACAGAGCTTGGTATTCATCAAGTTTCCGCCTTCATCCAATACATGAAAGATGAACTTGCGGTACAGTACTGGGTATGGTTTAAGAAGTACATCCTCGATTGATTCCTGCTGCGTCTCCAAGACCTCTGTTCTACGCGAAACTTGGTCAACCATGTCAGAGTGGAGCAAGTTGGTGGTGCCTGCTCACCCAGACTCTCATCTCACCTGTCGTAGCTTATTGGCTTTCTACATTGAGGTCCTGAACTGTTCCCATACTAATCGCAGAGCCGCCATTGAAAGCATAAGGTAGGATTCCAAGAAAACTGGCGGGCCAACCATCTGTAGCGGCACGGCCCTTTTCGATGAAAAAGAGGATCAGGGGCACACTCCCACTCTCATTATCTATGGCGGACCTGGGTGTCCTTTTTAGTGCAAACAGAGTGGTTACACTAGAAGGCCTGTAGGCCCGGCGATTCGCGAATTGGACGTAAATCGTCACGGGCCCGGAACATATCTTTGTGTTGGTGGGGAGGTATTTGTTGGACTATGCGGCCCGGAATTGGCGCCGTTGATAATCGACCTGCTATATTATGCATATGCAGAACCTCATAATATCACCAATCCCTCCTTCGTTCTGGAGCTAATATGATGGTGTAGTTGCTTATGCGGTTGTTTCTTGTGTTCACGACATTGCGCGGTTGGACATGAAAGTCGCCCGCACCAGGGTTATGCAGCTCGTCTGGCGCCATCGTGGTGGTCCTTTGCGCGAGGTGTTTTCTTCGGCTCCATCGTTCCACCATTCTGCTTTTGGGCTTTTGGGCTGGGTGCCTGGAAGCCGAACTGGGGACAAGGAGTGTAATGGCTGGATAACGACCCTCTTCCAACCATAGAAAACCTTCCCCTCGTTGGTAGTAGGATGGTTACGTGGTGTTGTCGCTTCGCCTGTGCGCCGGCGCACTTCGTCCGTATTATCCATGTATTCGATTCCCCACTATCCTTCCGTAACCCCCCCCATCTTTCTGGCGACCTCCTCGTCAAATAAGCCGGACCTCCTTGCTGACGAAAAACTCATTCACAACATTCTCACGGAGCGGCCCGTCGGCTTGCGAATACACCACCGCGTACGTACAGTAGTTGTCTAGGTGCACATCGATCAAGGGCATGAGTCTGCTTCGGGAAGTCCGACCTGTTGATTATCTCAAGTTGAGGCTAGATGAAAGGAAGCTTGCAGCCATCAAACGACTGGAGAGTCTGGGCCAGCGTACTATTGCAGAGTGAGAGCGTCGACAGGAAAAGACGCTGCCACCGGGCCATACTAGTGAATAGGGGAGGGCCGGCAGATGACCACGTAGACCACTAAGGGGCAGTTAATGAAGATAAAGGCCCTGATCCTATAAACCGCGGCTGATCGTTAGCCGGCTGAAGAAGATACTTACGATAGTAGGGGTTTTCCCGCGTATTAACTCTATTAGGTTTAGCTAATTAATAGTATAATAATATGTTTAATACGTTTTAATAGATTATATTTAGCTTTTAAAATTAACTAGAAACTTTCTTTTATAAGTATTTACGTGATTTTTATTAATATTATTAATGTAATACATTATAAATAAAGGGTTATAAATAATATAAAATTTATTTATAACTTTATATGTAAATCTCTTATTAAAAATAGGTAAGCGCTATATTTATACGTGTTATATAGTGTTTTTAGCCGGCTAACTATTAGTCGCGGTTTATAGAATTAGGGCTAAAAAAGGCCCTACTCGTACCCGCCTGTTACGAACGACACTGCACGAGAGACGGGACGGGACCGCACCGGCTAGGACAGGCACGACTCGTGGGCACGAGAAGAAGATAAGGGCACGTGACTAGCCACGTGACCTAAAAGTCGATTAAAGACTTAAAGTGTTAAGTTAGTAATCTAAGACGAGTGTAACGGTGGCTTAGGTTCTAAGGCATAGTAGGTCTGTTTCTTAGGAAGTAAGTTAGGTTAAATGCTATAGAGTAGCTTTTTAAGTAGTATTATAATAAGGCCGTTAAGAGTATAACTCTTAATAGTAAAACTATTACTTAGATTAATTAATAGAGAACTAGACTATTTACTTCGGCGAAATACCCCTTTCTTAAGTACTTATTTACCTCTCTATTATAGACTTATAATTACCCTAATCATTTATCTATCTATTAATCCCTAACTTATAGCAATTAATAAGTGATCCAACAATCACTTAGAATAGTTAAAAAGTGTCTTTTATAAGATATTAAATAATTCTTTCTTAATAGAAGTATTACTTAAATAAAACTGTTATTTTTATTAGCTTAAACGTAATATATATATATATATTAATAGCTTTATACGTAATATTATAATTTAGTTACTTTTTAATTCTTATAACTTACTTCTTAAAGCTAAT